TTTGTTATTATTGACTGAGATGAAAATAAAATAATACTCCACAACTGATCTTAGGGCAAACATAGAAGACCTTGGCTACTTGAAAATAAAGAAAATAATGACTATCTCCTCACAATTGATACTTGTCCTCCTCCTTTTTCCGAGCTTGGGACCGGCTGTGACTTGACAGGCGGAGTTAGAAGTGTTTCACACAAAAACAAGGCACCAAGTATGCCAAAACTATGACTACTGAGCAACAAAACAAAAACTAAACAAAATGCATCTCTACCAAAAATCTAAGGACAAACATAAAAGACCATAGAATTACCTAAAAACTCATATCAAAGGAAATAATTTTCTACTAACAAAATCAAGGACATACACACTCGGACAACTAGTAATGAAAGCAATAAAGAAACATGCAAAAATGATTTTCTGTATGGAATGGAAAATTCCAAGAACTTGTACCCAGTGCAAATACTAGCATCTATCTCATCAAAGTCCAATTCTAACAACATAACAACCAAGACAATACCGCCACACACCACACGGCCCAAGATCAAAACCTAAAAAATAATAGACAAACACAGAACAAAGGAAAGCAACATCAATATTTATCAACTAGGAAAAATGGTATCACATTACTCCTGGAACCAAATGAAGAAAGTAGCTCCGGACATCAACTCTATATATAAAGCAACTACTTGGAAAACTGATGACAAACACAAAAAAGAACATGAACCTAAAAAAGATGTCAAAGTACATAGATTGCTAATTTGTAAATAGAAGACCTAAGCAAGATGTGTGCAAACCAAAACCTAATACCTTTTTCACGTAGACAAAAATCATGGAATAAAAGAGGATAAGAACCCGTATCCCGTAAGAAACTGTATGTCATCATACGCGTTCAAAATGGAGCATCTCAGACCTAGCCAAAATTCAAAGAATATGCAGGATGGACACTATAAACCTTAAAACTTGACAGTATGTAAAAGCCACATCCCTGAAAGTGATGAACTATGCGCAAAAAGACAGAAAATTCTAAAACATAATAGCATTTCCACAAAAACTGAACAAGATAACATGACAAAACTCCCTAGCCACTTAAACACCATAAATGCAGAGCATCAGCAAAAGCCAAATACCAGAACTGCCTTTATTTCTTATGAACATGAAGGCATAGGGAAATTGAACGATCCTACCCAAAATGTTAATTCACTAAAAATATATCATATCACAAATGCATTACCATAATACCAAAACCAATAGGAACGAATTACAAATAGAAGGATAAAAATAACCAAACCACAACAGCTACCAATCACTCTTGCTTAGAACTATATTCGTTGATGCAACTGAATTCACAACTGGTAAAAGGCTGAATCCACAACCCACAGACCCACTCTCCCTCCGAGATTAACACCATAGTGTCCTCGTTATAGACTAGATCAAATAGATTACAAACTAAATGACTACTTGCCAGTTCACAGTAACAAGAACAGCTAGGAACGTTCAAGAACGAAATAACAAGAAAAGTTAGATTACAAACCACAAGAGGAGGACTACTGTTTTATTTTGAGCAACGGTTAGTTCGCACCAAGGAAAATGTAGTACATCATTAACAGGACACCAGTGCACTGCTCAAATTTCAAGAACACATCACTTTGTCCAAATCATAAAAAGAGATCATATAAACAGAATGTACCTACGCATCCCAAAAAGAATTCCAAACACAATCAGATCTATAATTATCAAGCTGATCAGTTACAATCACATGAATAAACCGAGTTTGTTGCCAAAAACATCCTTCGATTATACCCTAAACTTAACAGGAAAATGTAGTACATCATTAAAAGGACACTGCACAAATTTCCAGACCACATCACTTTCCCCAAATCATACAAAGAGAACGCATAAACAGAATGTACCTACGCACCCCAAACAAAATTCCAAACATAATCAGATCTATAATTATCAAGCTGACCAGTAACAATCACATGAATAAACCGAGTTTGTTGCCAAAAACATTCTTCGATTATACCCTAAACTTAACAGGAAAATGTAGTATATCATTAAAAGGACACTGCTCAAATTTCCAGACCACATCACTTTCCCCAAATCATAAAAAGAGAACGCATAAACAAAATGTACCTACGCACCCCAAATAGAATTCCAAACACAATCAGATCTATAATTATCAAGCTGACCAGTAACAATCACATGAATAAACTGAGTTTGTTGCCAAAAACATCATTCGATTATACCCTAAACTTAACAGGAAAATGTAGTACATCATTAACAGGATACCAGTGCACCGCTCAAATTTTCAGAACACATCACTTTCCCCAAATCATAAAAAGAGAACGTATAAACAAAATGTACCTACGCACCCCAAAAAGAATTCTAAACACAATCAGATCTATAATTATCAAGCTGATCAGTAACAATCACATGAATAAACCAAGTTTGTTGCCAAAAACATCCTTCGATTATACTTTAAACTTAACAAGAAAATGTAGGACATCATTAACAGGACACCAGTGCACTGCTCAAATTTCCAGAACACATCACTTTCCCCAAATCATAAAAAGAGAACATATAAACAAAAAGTACCTACGCACACCATAAAGAATTCCAAACACAATCAGATCTATAATTATCAAGCTGATCAGTAACAATCACATGAATAAACCGAGTTTGTTGCCAAAAACGTCCTTCAATTATACTCTAAACTTAACAGGAAAATGTAGGACATCATTAACAGGACACCAGTGCACTGCTCAAATTTCCAGAACACATCATTTTCCCCAATCACAAAAAGAGAACGTACGAACAAAATGTACCTACGCATCAAAAAAGAATTCCAAACGCAATCAAGAAGTTCTAAATTTCATAACTTCACCAATCAGATCTATAATTATCAAGCTGGCCAGAAACAATCACATGAATAAACCGAGTTTGTTGCCAAAAACATCCTTCAATTATACCCTAAATTTAACAAGAAAATGTAGTACATCATTAATAGGACACCAATGCACTGCTCAAATTTCTAGAACACATCACTTTCCCCAAATCATAAAAAGAAAACGTATAAACAAAATGTACATACGCACCCCAAAAAGAATTCCAAACACAATCAGATCAATAATTATCAAGCTGATCAGTGAAAATCACATGAATAAACCAAGTTTGTTGTCAAAAACATCCTTCAATTATACCCTAAACTTATCAGGAAAATGTAGTAACATCATTAACAGGACACCAGTGTACTGCTCAAATTTCCAGAACACATCACTTTCCCCAAATCATAAAAAGAGAACGTATGAACAAAATGTACTTACGCACCCCAAAAAGAACTCCAAACGCAAACAAGAAGTTTTAAATTTCATACCTTACACCAATCAGATCTATAATTATCAAGCTGGCCAGAAACAATCACATGACTAAACCGAGTTTGTTGCCAAAAATATCATTCAAGTATACCATAAACTTAAAGTACATCCTTATGTTATTATAATGAATAGAAAACATCCCTCAATTATTCCAAAATGGCAAGATTCATCCTCATGTTAGTTTTTATCAAGAAATAACTACTTAGCCTACAATCACCTATGATGTTCGCTCTCATCCCTCTCTTTTAGCTGATTGATAGGTAATTCTAATTAAAATGGATGGGCTAGGAAGGAGTTCTTTATCATCAACTTCATCGTAGCAGCAAGAGTGCTTCCATAATAGATGAAAACAAAAAATATTTTAAGTAAATTATTTCTCAGCTCTATATGATTATTAATCGGATAAATGCAGAACTATTATTTGAAAGATGTACAGTTTCTCCTTCATTTCCAAGGAAAATGAGGTAATTTGAAGTATGAACTTTAGTCTATTTTTCTTAGTAGATTCAATAAGAGTATCAATTTATGTTTTAGAGTGAAAACATAACTCGAAAATTGGAATGTCTCCACAATTTTGCTCCACCAAATTGGCAGCGGAAGGGCATCTTTGTCCAGATTTTTTAGAGTTACATAAATAGAAAATAGGTCATTTTCTGGAGCAGTTTTTGGAATTTACAAGTCTCGGTGAAGTATCTCTAGCTTGGGAAGGATTACGAGATTTTTACCATAGAGTTAGAATCTTCTTCTTTATTTCATTTTTAACTATGTTTAGTACTTCCTCCGTTTAAAAAAGAATGACCTCCTTTCCTTTTTAGTCTGTTTCAAAAAGAATGATCTCTTTTTTTTTTTGGTAACATTTTAATTTCAACTTTCCACGTGGCATGTTTAAGGCCACAAGATTAAAGGGCAATTTTGTACATTTGACATAACTTTAATTTAGGACCACAAGATTCAAAAGTCTTCTTTATTTTCTTAAACTCCGTGTCAAGTCAAACTAGACCATTCTTTATGAAACGGAGAGAGTATTACATTTCATCTTGTATTTTTTTTTCTAGTATGAGTAGCTAAACCTATTAGATGGGGTTGTAGACTCTTATGGCTTTTATGTGATTGAATACTAGTTTATCTTGCTTATTATTATTTGGATTGTGATTATCTACTTGTTTACATTCTTATTTGTGAATTTAGTGGTTGTAAACACTAGATTTAGCCCTATATATTCATTTTTTGCACGGAAGGGTGAAAATTGGATTGGATTTTTAACAAGTAGCAAAGAATCAAGTATATTAAGGAATTAATTATGCTTGATTAACGAAGTGGAACTAGGAATAGGGAGATTCCTATTTGGGTCTATCAATTGGGTCTAATATTTTCCTTTTAGTTTGGAAGAACTTTTTTTTTTTGATAAAAGTAACAGTTAGTCTATATTTATCCACAGGTATACTACCTCAAAAGTGTAGTTCCCCTCCAAAAGTGTTGTAGTTACATAGGATCCTATACCTACCAAGTTACAGCCAGTCTATAGTTATGCTGATTACTTCTGAGCTATCGAAGACTACTTGTTTACACCAAAAATAATACAGAGCTAAACATTTAAGCTTAAATATTTGTATGTTGCTCTGCTTTACTTCATGACATCTCTGGTTCCTCTCTAGCCATACTGTCCACCATATACATGATGGGACCATCTTCCATCTCTCCTCCTTTCTTCCTGCATTTCCATATATATTCCAGCACTTCAAAACCTCTTTGATCCTTCCTGGTTTCACCCATTTAATCTCTCTTTTATTGGTGGATATTTGCCACAGCTGGGTTGTCCACTTGCAGTGTAAGAAGAGATGGTTGACTGTCTCTCATTGCTCTTCACACAAAAAGCACCTGGAACACAGGTGAACACCTCTTTTGCTCAGGTTCTCATGTGTCAAAACTGTCTCCTTAGCTAACAGCCAAGTAAAACAATTTACTTTATAGGGTATCTTGGTTTTCCATATCATCTTCCAAGGCCATTCTACTTCCTCAAAGCCAACTGCGTTAAGATCTTCATATGCTGAATTTACTGTGAAACACCCTTTGTTCCCCACATTCCACACCAGTGAGTCCTCTTCCTTAGACAGGTTACTAAATTGTGCTAAGGTAACCAAAAACTCAGTTATTCTGCACATCTCCCAATCATTTAAATTCCTCCTGAAGTGTAAATTCCACCCCTGATCATTCCATAATTCGGCTACAGTTGCTTGTTGCATTTGACATAGGTCGTAGAGGTCAGGAAACCTTTGGCTTAATGGGACCTGACCACACTATTTGTCCATCCAGAACGCCACATTTCTGTCATTTCCCACCTTACAATATGATCTTTCTAGCACCAAATCTCATAGATCACTGATAAATCTCCATACACTAGACCCATAGGGAGAGGTCACCTTTGTTGTCATCCACTTATCGCTCATTCCATATTTTGCAGCAATCACTTCCTTCCATAATGAATTCACAGCAGATGCAAACTTCCATAACCACTTCATCATAAGGCTTTGGTTCTGAAACTTCATGTTTCTGATGCTCACACCCCCTATCTTCTTGCTTATGTTCATTTCTTCATATTTGACAAGATGATACTTCATTTTATCTTCATTTCCTTGCCAAAAGAAAGTTCTTCTGAGTACCTTTATTCTGTCGATTACACCAGCTGGTGCTGGGAAAATAGACATCATGTAAGTTGGTAAGGCATCCAGCACACTGTTGATCATAGTAAGTCTTCCCCCTCGGGATAAGTATTGACTTTTCCAGTTTGCTAATTTTCTCTCGCACTTCTCTATCACTCCACTCCAAATGCTTATTGACTTACTTTTTGCACCTAATGGCATGCCCAAGTAGATGGTGGGTAGCTCCCCTATTCCCTCCCCCCCCCCCCCGCGTATTGGCTAGCTCCTCAATTTGCACCACTTCATTGATTGGATAGATGTAGTTTTTCCCCCGGTTTATATGAAGGCCTAACACAACTTCAAAAATAATGAAAATGGTCCTCAAAATCAGAAAATGATTCCTCACTGCTTCACAAAAAACTAAGGTATCTTCTACATATTGTAGGTGAGTGATTTCTAGGTTGTTACTTGCCCTGTTTTGCACTTGGAACTCTCTGATCCAGTCTTTGGCTTTTGTTGTGTTAATCAGGCTACGCATCCCCTCCATTGCTAGAATGAACAAGAAAGGTGAAAGCGGATCTCCCTGCCTCAACCCTCTCTGAGAAGAGAAAAAACCAGTGGGGCTTCTATTGATCAGAATTGAAAATTTGACTGTACCTATACAATATTTGATCCACCTGATCCATTTAGATCCAAAACCCATCTTCTGTAACATGTTCACTAGATAATTCCAATTCACATGATCATATGCTTTCTGAATGTCCAACTTACATATTATGCCTGGTTGTTTGCTCTTCACTCTTGAATCCACCAGTTCATTTGCTATCACCATTGCATCCAAAATCTGCCTTCCCTTAATAAAGGCCATCTGTTGTATGTCGACAATTCTGTGAATTACCTTTTTCAATCTTTCTGCCAATAGTTTTGAGATGATCTTGTACACTCCCCCCACCAGACTGATGGGTCTGAAGTCATTCAATTCAATTTCCCCCACCTTTTTTGGAATAAGTGCAACAAAAGTGGCATTAAAGCTCTTCTCAAAACATTCTCTAGCATGGAAATTCTGGACAGCTGCTACCAACTCATGTCTGATTATGTCCCAACACTGACTGAAGAAAGCCATTGTATAGCCATCTGGTCCAGGGGCTTTATCTCCTGCACATGCTTTGATGCTTTCTAGTATTTCCTCAGCTTCAAAAGGAGCCTCCAAAAACTTGCCATCAATTTCATTAATTCTGGGGCAATTTCTCATGTCTTACTGTAGCCTCCACTTTTCTGATTCTGTATACAACCTCTCATAGTATTCAACAATTTTTTTCTTAATTTCTTCAGGTTCTGCAATCTCCACTTTATTTACTTTCAATTTATCGATGTTGATTCTTCTGTGTTGGTTTGTTGTTCTATGGAAAAAACTTGTGTTTCTATCTCCTTACTTAAGCCACAAAGCTCTGGACCTCTGTCTCTATGTTATCTCTTCATGCTTGGCTATGTCCACTAACTCCATAGTCAAAGCCAACCTAGAAGTTATTTCCCTTTCTTCAAGAGATCTCTGTTCTTGTATCTCTTCTAGATCCGCTAATTGCTTCAACACATTGGCCTTTTGCATTTTCAGATTTCCTTGGATGGGTTTTCTCCATTCTTTCAACTTCCCCTTTAGTGCCTTCAACTTTGCCATTAGGACATAATCAGGCCTGCCAGTGTAATTAAAAGACTCCCACCAATCCCTAACCTTAGCATTGAACCCTTCTGTGTGAAGCCACCAGTTTTCAAACTTGAAGTATGAGTTTTATTACCCCCACTCTCCAAGTATGAGTTTTATTACCCCCACTCTCCACACTGTAAAAATAGAGGTGAATGATCTGACATTACTCTACTGAGAACGGATTGTTTAATGCAACTAAAATTAGTGTCCCATTCTTCTGATAACAAGAATTTGTCCAATCTAGCAATTGTTGTGTGTCTGTCCCCTTTTTTCCAAGTGTATTTTCCCCCATATAGATCTATATCTATTAATTCCATGTCTTCAATGAAGTCAGAAAATTCTGGCATTGATCTATTTATTCTGATGCCATCTCTTTTTTCTATTGGATACCTGACAGTATTGAAGTCCCCACACAAGACCCATGGCCTAGAAAACAGCCCCCTTGCAGCATCTAGCTCCCACCAGGTCTCCTCCCTCTCCACTCTATCATTTGGTGCATAAACTCCAGGTAAATGTCATTTGAAGCCTTGGTCTTTTCGAGACAGAGAACATGAAACAGAGTATACCCCAACACTACTCAATTCCCCTTCCCAGAATCTCTTGTCCCATATGATCACTACTCCCCCCCCCCTCCTTGTTCCACTAGCCTCCAATTGTACAAAATCTGCCCATCTACTGCCCCATACCTCCTTTACTATGTTGGAAATATTTCCCTCTATTTTTGTCTCTTGTAAGCAAACAACATCAGCTTTCCAGTTTAACAACATGTTCCTTATCAAACCTCTCCTCCTTTCACAGTTTAACCCCCTCACATTCCATGAAACTATGTTTAACTTCATTAATTTTTGATAGCCAAAAATCCCCCTTTGCTTCTTGTGCCATAACTCATGAAATTGGTGTCCAGTTCTAGACTCTTCAACTCATTTAACCCTTCTCTTTTCTGAACTTTTTGCTCATTCTGGAAGACTTTGTTTTCCAGCTTGTTCCTGTCGATTTTTTGAAATAATTCTGCCACTTTTGGAATTAGCTATGCTAGATTGGAAAATTCTTGTAAGTAATTATCAATTGGATCATTTTCATTGATCTTATGCATTTGAGCAAGATACTAGTAATGCCATATTGAGGCTACAACCCCGGTCCCTCTGTTAATTGAAAAACAAAATATTGTTATTGCACTCTTAGTGTTGATTAAATCCTAGCTTAGAAAACAGTCTAACTTTATATTTAATTACTCAATCACTCTTTTATTTGAAAATTAGCTTAGAAAAGTTACAAATTCTCACACTCTTGACATCTTGACACGCGCGTACTCCTTGTGGAATCGACCCCAACCTTTGTTGGGTTTATTATTGATCTAATCTAATTGAGTTTCAAAGATAAGTTAAATTGACTTTGATAAACTAAAAAAGTGGCACATAAAGAACACTGCTACCCTATGCACCGTAAATCCAACTAATATAACTAAAAATTACCAAATATCAGCTTATAGAGGGATGAAAAGAACAAAACATGAAATTCATGGTTTAAAGTTGTTAGTTTATTGACCAACACTAACAAAAGGATGAATCATACCATTTTAAAGATAATTAAAGGATTTTCTTTTGTTTACTATGATAATAAAAGGATGTTCCTTAAATTCAGGGTATGATAATAGAAGGACGTAATGAATCAACCACAAGGCCAAGCCATGAGAGAGAAAGAGAGAAGAAGAAGAGAAAGCGTTGAAAACATACCTGCCGAGATCGTGAAGCAGAGGACTGAAGAAGAAAGAAAAAGAAAAGAAGAAGATGAAGAAGTTCTGAAAACATATCTGCTGAGATCATGAAGCAGATCAAAGGACTGAAGAAGAAAGAAGAAGAGAGAAGTTGAAGGTCGCTGGCGACTGCTTGAATAAACCCAATGCACAAAGGGGTCAAAAGAGAAGGGAACAATCTTCCGCCCCAAGTGCCTCACTTGCCTCCACCATCCATCACAACATCAACCCCATCTTCTCAAGAAATTGTAAAGTTGGTTGTATGGCCAAAGATCATCATGACCAATTTTCAATGTTTGCAACCACAAGGCCAGGCCATGAGAAATAAAAAGAGAAGAAGAAGAAGAAAAATTCTGAAAACGTACCTGCTTAGGTCGTGAAACAGAGGACTTGAAGAAGAAAGAAAAAGAGAAGAAGAAAAAGAAGAAGAAGAAGAAAGAAAAAGTTTTGAAAACATACTTGTTGTGGTCGTGAAGCAGAACAGAGGACTGAAGAAGAAAGAAGAATAAGAGAGAAGCAGAAGGTCGCTAGAGGCTGATTGAATGAACCCAATGCACAAAGTGGTCAAAAGAGAAGGAAACAATTTTTCTCCCCAAGTGCCTCACTTGCCTCCACTATCCATCACAACATCAACTCCATCTTCTCAAGAAATTGTCAAGTTGGTTGTTACGGCCAAAGATCTTCATGACCAATTATCAATGTCTACAAACACAATCTTGATCCGAAAAAATTACTAGGTACCTAGAAAGAATGACCAAGAATCAATTTTAAAGACGCATTCGAACAAACAGAAAGATGAAACAGAAGAATACCTGCAATTCTTGAAGTAGAGAGCCATAAGTAGTAGTGGCCGGCTTAGAAAGAAGAGATGGATTATTGCATATTCAATCATATGTCACTAAAGTCACACCCCCTTATGATCAATTTAAAAAAATTCTACCATGTTTCCCACCCAACAGCAATTAAAAACAAGAATCTGCAGACAAGATTATCCTACACAACTCTTATCTACCACAAGAAGATCAACTCTTACTACAAAGACGCAGAAAAAAGGAAAAGCACAAAACCCCAAAATCTTGATCGAATAAACAACCTTAAGAATTAACCAAATTTAATATATTTCTATTATATCTCCTTATAACACAATCTTGATCCAAAAAAATCATTGGGTACCCACAGAAAGAAAGACCAAGAATCAGTTTCAAAAACACATTTGAACAAACAACAAGATGAAACAGAAGAATACCTTCAATTCTTGAAGTAGAGAGCCACAAGTAGTGGTGGAGAAGAGACTGATTATTGGCATATGCCACTAAAGTCACACCCCTTTATGATCAATTCAAAAGATTTCTATCATGTTTCCCACCCCACCCCACAACAATTAAAACAAGAATTTGAACACAACTCAACAACATCAACTCTTACTAAGTGAAGCGCAGAAAGAAAAAAAGGAAAACCCCAAAATCTTGATTTAATATATTTCTATCTCCAATCTTGATTCGAAAAAATCACTGGGTTCCAGAAACAGAAGCATTTGAACAAACAAGAAGATGAAACAGAAGCATACCTGCAATTCTTGAAGTAGTAAGTAGCCGACGAGGAAACACTAATCGACATTGTCGATTTTTCAAAGAAGAAAAAGAAAAGAGAAGAAGAAAAGTTGGTGAAAACGTACCTTGGGTTGAAGAAGAAAGAAGAAAAGAGAACGTTGGTTTGTGGAAATTTGAGTCTTTTAATTAATTAAATTTTTCCTTATATATAGAGTGGGTAAAGAATTATATTAGGAAATATCCCTTATTTAATACTACTATCCTAATCCTAATTTAGGAATAAATCTCTTATTTAATACTTACTACTATCCTAATTCTAATTTAGGAAATATCCCTTATTTAAAGTTTTATATATATTTATATTTATTTTTTATATTAATAATAAAGGGAAGAAATTGGTGGTTGATTCCTTATTTTTTTTTCTTTTTTCTTTCTCACGCTCCCAACAGAATTTTCTCCATACCTAGGGCTTGAACCTGAAACCTCCCAACAAGATTTTCTCTGTTCCGTATTTAAAGTTTATTGTTTTTGAAAATCTTCCTAAAAGGCTAAAATATTTCCCGCAATACTCATTGGGCGTACCAACTCATTCATATTGCGATGGACCTATTGCTTCGCCCACCGCATGGGGCTGCCCCTAGTCAAGCCTCAAGCTTAACAAAGTTGTTATGACATATAATTACAATAGAAATCACACTAGCTTAGGAGCAAATTATTTTTCTTTACGCGAGTTTCTAATATTACGAATTTTATTAGAATTTAGACTTTGGATATATGTATCTGACATGCCCAGATATATGTATTTTGGATACATGGGGTCAAAGTTATGTATAATTTGTTCTAGATACATGTATCTAAGTGGATTCGCATGTATGTGGCTCGCTCGCTCGCTTCTCTCTTAAGTAGCTGTATTTCAGAATGTATTTGATATCCATATACATGTATTTTGTGTGTGGTTCACATATATCTGAGATATATAGACTAATTGAGGAGAGAGAGGAGAGGAAACACTAATCCATTTTTCAAACCCACGAAATCATCAAACATAATCGAGAAGCAGAGGATTGAAGAAGAAAGAAGAAGAAAAGTTGTGAAGAAGAAGAGAGAATATATTCACTGTCTTATTAGAATGTCAACAATGTAAATTATTACCGGTGACAAAGCACAACTTAAGGACGTCGTGCAGAATTGCCAAAAATATTTCTTTAATACTTGTGACATTGAAATTAACTAACAAATTATTTATAAATCCTTTCACTTTTTCAACATCCTTAGCGGTAATCGAAGCTTCATCTAATTTACGCTAGATAATTGTTTATGCAAAATCAAGATGTTAGTAGAAATCTAATTTTACGCTTAGATAATTGATTATGCAAAAATCCAGATGTTAGTAGAAATTTGTATGTTAGTATTTATTACCCCTTTGTTTCAATTTGTTTACCTTTTTTTTTAATCATTTGACACAAAATTTAAAGAATTAAAAAGAACTTCTGAATTTTATAACCTCAAAAATGTCATGTCCAAAGTTTTCAACAAAAAAAAAGACAGAAGTATGAAAACCCTTAAAATTATCGACTGCTTTTTTTTACCATTCAAAGGAGAAACATATATATTCAAAAGGTATCAATGAATAGGGATTTGCGTTCTCACGACCCTGCTCAAGTTATCAATCATAATAATGGACTTAACATTCTTCAATTACCTAGTGCTTATAAAGAGTTCACGCTTATAAAAAAGTTTTTTGAAACACATTGAAGCGGGCATATTTCAATGCGAACTCTCTCTTATATAATAAGAAAATATATCCACAATCTTATTAGAACGTCGGCGATATGAATTGTTACCAGTGACAAAGCACGTCTTAAGAATGTCCGTACAGAATTGCCAAAATATTTCCTTAACTAGTAAAACTACCCGCATCTCGCGCGGAAATTTAATTTCACGAAATTTATAAACAATACTTAACACCTATCAGTCATTAAAACTAAAACACTATACTATCTTACATACAAGATTACGTAGTAACGAACATTATTAATGTAAAGGAAAATGAAAATTATAATATCTTATCATTTATCCTTAATAATATAAACATAAATTAATGACTGTAAAAAAAACTTACCAGGATCTATAACAATAGAATGAAACACAAAGGACAAAATAGAGTCCACTGAATGCACAATGTCCCCTTATGGAAATTATTTCCCTCTAGTACCCGATGTTTAAAGGAATAGATTCTCTCAGGATAGAGCGATTAGATTCACCGGTGTATTGATACGAAAACAATGGTGTCAGTGAGCCACTCAATAAAAGTAAAGTACACGAATATTTAATTGTATAGAAGATGAAGAAGTAGTTTAGAATTTTCGTTGTTTTAAAATGAGAGGAAATCCCTCTATTTATAGACAACAAAGGGTAGTGTGAATAAATGTTTATTGTGCCTTATCGGAAAGGTCACAACTATTTGGAAAAGTTGCAACCCTTCGAAAATGCCACAATCTTTCATAAAAGTCACAACTGTTCATAAAAGTCACAACTTTTCATGAAAGGGGAAAACTAATTTTGGAAATAAATAAATTAAAAGGGAATCCAAGTTTGTGGTGGCGCCACGTAGGCGGGCCTATAGTTCTCTTTTATATATGATATATGATACTTGTGACATAAAAAATTAACTAACAAATTATTTATAAATCCTTCACTTTTTCAACATCCTTAGCGGTAATCGAAAAATCCCCTGAGCTTCATCTAATTTACGCTTAGATAATTGTTTATGCAAAATCAACATGTTAATAGAAATTTGTATGTTAGTACTTACTACCCCTTTATATCAATTTATTTGTCTCTTTTTTATCATTTGACACAAAATATAAAATACTAAAAAACTTTTGAATTTTATAACCTCAAATATGTTATGTCCAAAGTTTTCAACAAAAAAAAAAGAAACAAAAGTACAAAAGCCCAATTTTTTACCATTCAAAGGAGAAACATACATATTCAAACGGTATCAATGAACAAGGGCTTGCATTCTGACGACCCTATTTAGGTTATCAACCAAAATAATGGACTTAACATTCTTCAATTACCTAGTGCTTATGGCCCTATTTAAGTTATCAACCAAAATAATGGACTTGACTTAACATTCTTCAATTACCTAGTGCTTATAAAGAGTTGCATGCTTTTCCATACGTATAGTTTTATTGATTGATGTGACATACTCTGAAAAAATTAATTCATGTACCAAAAGAAATTCCAATACTTGTAGAAAACAACTATCACCCAAGAACTGAATACGAAAGACATATTCCAACTTATGTTAGAATGACTTTCAGCAAAATATAAAATTGCAAGTTCATAAGGCAGATTTATCAAATACAAGGTTAGAACATCACCACATAAAAATTGATAAAGAGATGATCATAATTTCTGAAATCATTTCGAAAATCTTCGTGGTTTGTGTGATTAACCCAGAATGAGATTCAGACTTTAGTAAAATGGGAGCATGAACAAAGTTATGAAGTCCTGAAAAAACATCTTAAATGAACAATGTGTCTAATGTTTTAACTGATACACCATAAACTTAGATGATTTTCAAGCACTACCAGGCATTTAAGCTTTGTTTTCGAGTAACTACAGGTTCAAATTCTTTGAACAGCCTCCTCCATTCTGTACAAATGATAAAGCTCAAGTGCAGTTGCATAAGTTCCATAACCTTGATTTGCAGAGAAGCACCTATATGACTGCACTGCCTTCGGGTTTGTTGTTTTTCGCCAACAGTTTTCTGAAACTCATCATCTTATTCAATGCACCAACATAGGCTCGGACACTGGAGATAACAATATCCATATCTGCTCCGGTTCCACTGGAAGAAGAAAGAAGATATAAAAAGCCTATTCTAGTAAGAGAAAGGAAAGGTGATATTTCACAGACTTGCCCCAAAAAAAAAAAAAAGTGATGTTGGACACATGATTGACATCCAGCCAAGCATATCTACTACGGATTTTGACTCTTCTACTTGATACACACACTAACACTGGTGTTTCTTTTGGACAAGTCAAATGGAAAAATGGGAGATTGAAGAAAGAACTTGGAGGCACAAGAGTAAGAGTTGGAAGCAGTCATGTGAGGGGTTGCAGTGACGAGGAAACACCAAGGGTGAGGGCAGTCAATAGAGAAAATAAGCAAGAGGCCTGGAAGTTCTTTTGTTGGGTGAAGGCTGCACTATAGAAGAACGGCGAAGAGAAGGGGAGAGGAAACATGAATCTTATGACTACTGTGGTTATGCTTTATTGAGAACATATAAATTTGGCTCATTTCACTTTGATGTCATGTCCTCAATTCCAAAATTTACTGTGTCAACACCTACATGCGCCGCTCCCTCTCTCTCCATGTTCCCTAGGTTCTATCAGAGAAACAAGGCAAAGAAGAATAAATGCAAACAACATGGCTGGTACATTTCATACCTAAATGTACGGTGAACAGTCTCTCCAGTTAAGGCATGGGTTGATGTATGGCCATTTTCCCCACGAATTAAGACTCTGGTTGAAGCTATAGCATCTATACCTTGTGTGACTGCATTCATGGAATACTCAAGGAGTGTTACAGGTACCTGCACAATGCATGGACACTACAATTACCAGACCATAATACACATTCAACCAAAAAGATTATTAAATAGAAGACAAGTTTGACTGCTATTGAGGCAAACACCATCTTCTCGAACAAAAAAGTTGGGTTCTCTCTAGATATATAGAAAACTGCTTGTAAGTCAAATTCAAAATGTAAAAATTCCTACTCAAAATGCATATCAAATATAGTTTTACTTATTTTTGGAAACTATTATAAAGCTAGTAGGTTCATCAATCATGTGGAAAATGATAAAACTGCTCTTAAAAGATATCTTCACAGTACAACAACACACCCAGGGTAAACAAGTGGGGTTTGGGGAGGGTGGTGCGTACACAGCCTTGCCCCTACCCTGTGAAGGTTGAGAGGTTGTTTCCAATAGACTCTCGGCAATATCTTCACAGTACATTATAGCAAAATAGCTGGCATTTGTTATGTAGGATTTGGGTTGTCTGCTGACATCATCATTGAATGCAACACTAGACGCTGAGTTAGGATTGGACTAGCTTTAGAAAAGGACTCCATATGAGGTTTATTATTTAGTCTTAGAGCCCATTTGGATTGGCTTAAAAAAGTAGCTTTTAAGTCAAAAAATAAAAAGTCAAACTTAAATGACTTCTAAATGAAAAAATAAAAAGTAAGGGATTCCTACTTTTGGCTTTTAAACTTTTTTTTACGTCATTTTAAACTTATTTTAAGTTATTTTTTAACCATGTCAAACACTCCCAAAAACTAAAAATGACTTAAAAGTAGGTTTGACCAACATTTAAGTCAATCCAAACATGCTCTTAGTTTAGAAGTACAACATATACTTGGGTTGACCTGACTTCTTCAACAGCAAGAATACTGTTGTAAAAAAAACAATTGATCCTAAGGCAACTTTTATTTTTGGATAACTGTAGTGTCCGGACCAGCTTTCGCACAACTCGACTAATTCCACGGGATACCTGCCACCTCCCACGAACAATAGGTACCAGGTAACTCTGTCCACTAAGGCTAGGACAGGACAGATGGAAAGAAATTACCTATTTGTTTTGTCTCTGAGGAATTTGAACTCGAGACCTCATGGTTCTCAACCCACTTCTTTGACCACTAGGCCACACCTTGTGTGCACCCTAAGATAACTTTTTATGTAGTACATATGACGGGGGAAAAAAGTACAGGTAAGAGTACACAACAAGACAATATATCCAAAATAACGAGCTTCCGAATATTTTGCTCAACAAAACTCAAACTTGATGCATCTATAGCCTGGGGAGAAAATAATATTAGTATGTGTATAATTATGAATAGGATTTGCATAAAAGAGACTCACCAAATGAGTTTGTAATAAACCATTTATAGTTGACTATTAACATACTGTTCGGCTTGAGATCAATATGGGTCCTAGCGCTGCGACAAGATTATTTATTATTAGGAAGTTTCATTTCTATTTCATACCTTGACAATGAGATCAACTGCCTTATAAGCCGCGTCAACTGGCCCCGTTCCAACAGAACAAGAAATATGCTCTTGACCATCAGCATCAATGAGCTTAACGGTTGCTGTAGAAAGGCCAAGACTTCCACAAGTAACCTGTCCATAGAGCAGGAGGCCTTTCAATCAGCTGAACTATCCTTTTTAATCCAGATCAAAGGCAGAGACTTGAATTAAAACAGTGCAAATATAGTCAACATTAACATCTACCTGTACATTTTGAAGTTGCCAAACAAATTGAGGCTGGAAAACTTCATCTGACATCAGTGCTATCAGGTCATCATCTGTAATTTTCTGAAATAGCAGCGTGGAGATAAATAGATGACCAAAAAATATTTCACGATACCAACATCATATTAGATCCACACAGTTCTTAACCTTAATTTAAATTATAATTGAACTGATAAAAGTATAATTAGCCAAATAACCCTTTCAAATGAGCAGAAGAAACTTTGACAACCAAAAGAGGGTTTAAAGGGTCTTAGCACAAATTTGACAGTTGCCCCCACTTGAGAAGAGCAGTAGTTTATAATATACCAGTAATAATAGGACAGTTTTTCAAGGGTGTGGGTGTCGAATACAAAACAAATAGTTAACAGATTATCTTGGTTCAGAAGGTATCCTGAACTCTGCCCAATCTTTCCGTTCACATCCATGCTCCATTTTCTTCATCTGTTTCTACTCTTACTTCCATCTTTACTGATACTATAGTTCATCTCACTTTACAATATCTAAGAAGTTCTTACACATCAGTTGTTTCCAATCCCACAAGAATTAATGTACAACCCAGATACGTAGATGAATAAAAACACCACAATTCACAAAATTTGAAGATGTGACATACTTAAGATTGTACTGAATGTGAAAAAAGGGAGGGGGAGAGAGAGAGATCGTGATTATATTTTTAGCTCGTGTTCTAGCCACTAGGTTATCTAGGAAGGACAAAAAGTTCCAGCCATCAATCCCCTTCCATGAATTTTCAATGAAGCAAATTTACTGAACCTCACCACTCCACATGCATTTGAATGATGACGTAAATATACCAAACAGCAATGGAAATTTCAACAGCTTAATTCACCTTTTTCTTCTCAGCCACAGATTTGAATCGCCAGAAGAGGTCATCAAGTTCTTTTCCCTCAATTTCGTATCCAAGCTGCATAGGACTAAAATGATTTGTCTCGTGCTCTTAAATTTATGAAATAAACTAGATTCTCAGAGCATACAATTTACCTCAAGTATTTTAGCTTGCAAAGCATGACGCCCACTACAAAAGAAAATGTTCAACGTATCAATTTCCTTGAAGACATGATGTAATTCAATGTAAATAATGAATAGAGCACGTTAGGAAGGAGGGCACAGGAGGGATAAAGTTACAGACTATGATGATGATTATTTGATGCAATTGTGGTTCTGACCAGATTGGTAAATCACATACCTGAGTTTCCCGAGGACAATACCAGATTCATTAGCACGATTAAGCCCAATATCTTCAGGAGATATAATCTCATATGTATCTTTGTGTTTTAACATTCCATCCTAAAGAGCATAAAAGTAGTTTAAGAAGGAGAAGAGCTTGAAAAGGAAAAACTGAAATATTTTTCCCTTTTTTTTTATTTCACAACTGTACGATTATAAAAAGGTGCAGGATCCAGCTTTGAGGTAAGGAAGAAAAGGGAGGGGAGACACAATATACTACATATATTCAAAGAAGTTTAACTGAAAAACTTTGGTGTAAACAGGATATGGTGGGGGAGGTAGTAAGTCTAGTGGAATTCATAGGACAATTGTAAAGTTCTTTTTTGGGTTTTTGGTTATCAGGATGCCCTATGGGGTTGTAAATCCCACCTCATCAGTTGTTATTTGATGAGTTTTTTTTTGTGTGAATACAAAGTTACCTTATCAAAAAAAAAAAAAAAAGTTTAACTGAAAAACTTTATGCATTTGAAGATGAATCAAAAACAAATGATAACAGGACAATTAATCAAGCTCTAACTAAATATGTGGAAGATTTATCCATGGATATTCAAATATAGGATCACTACGCATCTAAAATGAGAAGGGCGATAAACAAATGAATAATCAGAAATATAAAAGAGTAAGCAGATTCAAACTCCTGATGGAAGTTCTTTTACGTCAGGAGGTATAATATCTCTTCCCCTCCAGGAATATTGGTACCAAATGTTTATTATAATCTAATGCCCCAAGAAGGAAAACTTGGAGCAACTTCTAATTGTTTGTTGGGTCTTTGAGGCTTCTCTGTTTAGCTTAGAAGTCTTCATATTAAGCTGTGAGCGAGAAAGTCTTTGACAATGTTCATTGGGAATCCCTTATACAGGGATGGCAATAGGGAGGGTTAGCGCAGAGCAAGACTTGACCCGTTAAGATTTTAACCCGCCCTAACCTGCCCCGTTTAGAATTTTCCAACATTTTGCCCCGCCCTGCCCCATTTAAGTGTTAATTTATTTTTCCCACTTTTTTATGTTCTGTTTAATTTTTAAAATGTGATGATGAGTCCAGATCTTTCTTACTTACACTAGGTGTGATACAGATTCCTTTGGATTTTGATTGTATGTACCAACACAAAGTGATAAATCGGTTAAATTTAAGTAATAAGCTACAGTGTTCAAAACGCAAATGAAATCTTAAATCTTTTGTTAATCAAATAACCCGAATAAAGGATAATGATATGCTCAGAAATATTGGAAATTTTCCTTTGGGAATCAATGCTCAATCAATCTGAGCATTGCTGGCAAGCTATAGAGTGTTCAAAACACTAAGGAACCTCTCATGAACCCACACCTGCCCTGCCCTATTAAAATTTTTAAAATATTAGCTATGACCCGCCCTGCCCCGTTAAGCCTTTATTCTGCCCCGCCCCGCCCTTGACCTGCCCCATTACCACCCTATCCTTGTCAACATGTTAAAATCCATGAGCTCCGGCAATAAATAGATTGAGTGGATCCACTTTTGCATCTCCATTGTCATGTCGTCCATTATCATAAATGGATCACCTAAAGAATTTTTTGCTTCACCAAAAGGTTCTAGACAAGGAAATTCTCTTTCTCCTTTTCCTTTTACCTTGGTTATGTAAAGTCAAAGAAGAATGTTGTCAACAGCAAAACTACATGACAAGATAAAGGGCTTTAACCCCAAGTCTGAGAAATCAAGGAAATCTGCATCTCACTTACCTTTTCTATGCAGATGATCACTCTTTTTTTTGCAAAACTGAAATGATCATATCGTACATCTTCGTATGGTACTTTTGTTCTTCAAAGCGAATTATGGTCTTCAAGTTAATTATACAAAGAGTGTTTTTTGTCCGGTGAACGAAATGATCAACTTATAGAAATAACTGACACCTTGGGTTGTGAAGTAGGATCTTTTCCCATTAAATAATTAGGCCTTCGGCCTTTCTTTGGGGTCAAAGTCTAAAGCCACTACAATCTGGGATGGGAGGAAAAGTGCAAAAGGAAGTTATCAATGCTGAAAGAGAAAACATCACTCATTAGGAGGTAGGCTAGTACTAATCAATAGTGTGTAAAGGGATTTTCTGTGACAAGGAATAAGACAAAACAAGTCTTTCAAAAAGGGATACAGTTTCTACTGACAAGAAGGCTGGAGGCATGGGGAACAACTATCTGAGGGTTCATAGTATCTTCTTGCAACACAAATGGCTCTAGAGATTTAATAGGGAAGAGGGAGCTTTATGAAGAGATGTTATTACGGCTAAATACGGACTTTCCAACCTATGGATTACGAAACATCCATAATTTCCTAATTCATGTGGTGTATGGAGGCATATGAGTGCACGGTGGGACTCTTTCTATCCAAGACCTCAACTGTAATTGAAAATGGCGGAAAGTAAGGTCTTGGACAGATATTTGACTTGTGCAATAACCTCCAAAAAACCAATACCCAACATTATTCACGATGGTGCCAAATTCTGAAGCATCTCTGTCAGACTACAGGAGTGAAAAAGGCTGGAACATCAAATTCAAGCGCAATATTAATGATTGGGAATTGGATAGCTGTGCTCTTTGCTTCTCAGACGCCTTAGGACCACCCCCCACCCTTCAACTCCGGTCTGATTCTCTAAAGTGAAAATATGATTCTGAAGGAGTTTTCACGGTCAAATTCTGTTATCAAAGATAAATCCCGCTGTCATTGAAAATTGGCCTTGGAAATGTATTTGGGAAAATAGGGAACCTCTGAAAGTTCGATTGTTTTGCTTGGTTGATGACAAAAGAACCTTGTCTTAAACATGAAAATCTTCAGAAAAGGGGTTTCAACATATGTAGTTGGTTTGCCTTCGTTGAAAGCGAAGTGACGACTCAACCATTTATTTCTTCATTGCTCCTTCAACTCATAGAGCTAGAGTCTCTTTCTCAGGACTACAGAAGAGCTGCCGTTAAGCTGGAATTTATGAGGTCTGGGGAAGGAAATCAGGGAACTTGGAACACCATTCCATCAGTAATTTGGTTGATCGTTGGAAAGAAAAGATGTCCATGAACTAATAAGAAGATTTGCCTCTTTCAGGAATTGTTTCTTTCAACAATAAATTAGAGCAAATTACACAAACCTGATGGATGCCACTTTCATGAGCAAAGGCATTAGCTCCAACAATGGCCTTGTGTGGCTGCACATGAAGTCCCGAGTACTCCTCTACCTGCATGATAAAGGGTCAGCAGAATGCATATTGGAAGAATATTAACCAGTAAAAGATCACCATACTATGAGATAGTAGGGGTACAAACCATCTTGCTTGACATGAGTATATGTTGTGTATTAATCCCTGTATATAGGCCACCTAGTACTTGCTCTCCACGACACTTTAAGGCCATTACAACCTATTCCAGCATTGGACATGGTAAAAGGTTAGAAAATGAAGGCCCGACATGCCCAAGATGAAAACCAAAGAGAAACAAGTACCACAGAGGAAAAAGGAGTCCCATACATGTCAGTAGTTTGTCAGTTTTAACAGCACATAACACAACCAATGGCAGAAATTGGCTCCAAAGACCAAAATGGCAAAATACGGTTGCATGTTTGCAACTATTGTTTTGCAAAGGAATAATATTACGTACCACACAATTTCTACTCTAGTATCAGTCTAAATTCAAGATGTTAATTTAGTCTAGGAAGAGGTGGAATAGTTCCTTCTGTGCAGAGAATGCCTTACGAGATTATGGGAAATTTCTTTGAAGACCTAACTTTTTGTCAAGGAAAGAACAGAGGGGAATTCATAGTCAAGGTTTTTTAATTAGCGATTCCACCCCTCAAATTTTGGAGCCCAAATCATGCACATAAGAGAACTGAAATTTCTCAGTGAAAAGCCCTCACACACCTCCTCTAAAGAAGCATTTCCAGCTCTTTCACCAATTCCATTGATGGTCACTTCCAATTGTCTTGCACCTGCACATGCTCCCTGAAATTGGACACGCTTTAATGTGCATACAACTTAAGTTGGCATAAACAACTAGGTTCTCATCGACATTGTACCACATACAGCTAAGGTGTTGGCAGTAGAAAGCCCAAGATCGTTCTGGCAGTGTGTTGAAATGATCACATCTTCAACTCCTGGGGTATTGGCTTTTATTTTAGCAATCAATTGTCCAAATTCTTCAGGTACGGTGTATCCAACAGTATCAGGGATGTTAAGGGTTGTTGCCCCAGCTTTGATAACCTCTCCAAGGATATGATAAAGAAACTCTGGATCAGATCTGAGAGGAAAAAACAGGAAATAAGGTTTTTTTGATAAAGTAAATTAATATTATTAAAGCTAGTACCAAGGAGGTAGTGCAAATAAACAGGAAAACAAGGCTCAGATCAGCAAAAAGAACGGATCCCAGTTAGCACAATGCATGAAAGTGGTTCCCATTGTCGATTCTAATCACTGAGCTAGTCTACAAACTTTTATACATGGCAACAGAATAAAACTTGGTAGCTTAACCCTCTTCTTTGAGATCTCAAAGCATCATACCAGAGAACTCCTTGATAGGAAAAGGCAAATTACAGTACACAAGGTCTTATTATCTTTTAAGTGTTCCGTTGAAAGGGAAAAGAGTCAAATAATTTCAAGGTCTCCCACGCGCTTGTTAAAAAGAATGCCATAAACATGTGTGTTTAATAAAACAAGTTTGGTGTCAACAGACTCGTGATGAAATTTTCTCCAGAAACTTTTCAGAATTCTTCAGGATCATTCGCCAGCTAAATTACGAGTCACTTTAAAATAGGCATCTGAATTTATCTAACACTATCTAAGCATACAACTATCTGTTCAACATATCTGTCCATAACGAGCATGACTAATCCAAAAAAGAAACAGGGAAATAAGTCCAATTTATTCCTTAGTCCCCGATTGGCAACTTTGTGGATAGCCTAAACTCAATAATTATCTCCATACAAGAAAAAGTCCCAGAATCAACAATTCTAGCAATGATGATAGCTCAAAGCAAGTATATAATGGTATGTGATAGGGGAACGAAAAGTTTAGATGCTAATTAACTTAAATATTATATCATCAATTTTATATTAAACTACTGAAAATGAAAAAATAGCAAAGTGATGGTAAAGAGTTTAGTCTACTAAAGTAATTCTCACATCAAAGTTCAAATTTTGAATAACTTTACATTTTTGAAAGTTGTAAAAATGTATAGAAATCAAATGGTGTCAATAATTTTGGAAGGTTCAAAAGTGTAGACTTTACATTTTTGAAAGTTGTAGAAATGTATAGAAATGAAATGGTGTCAATAATTTTGGAAGGTTCAAAAGTGTAGGTGTAAAGTCCAAACCTTCCAGCATCTTCAGGGCTAAATTCAACATCCTCACACCCAATACTCCTTGCATAAGCCACCATACTCCTAGCTTTCTCAACAACTTGATCTCTACTCATTTTCAGCTTATAATTCATATGTATCTCACTTGTAGCAATAAACGTATGAATCCTCGGTTTCTTAGCATACTTCACAGCCTCCCACGCCTTATCAATATCCTTCTTATTACACCTCGCCAATCCACAAATAACCGGAACATGTCCCTCTTCATAAACACCATTCCCAACTTCCTTAGCTATCAATTTTACAGCCTCAAGATCAGCTTCAGAAGAAGCAGGAAAACCAGCCTCAATTATATCGACACCAAGCTTAGCTAACTGACGTGCAACATCGAGTTTCTCCTTTGTAGTCATTGTAGCCCCTGGTGATTGCTCGCCATCACGGAGAGTGGTGTCGAATATGCGGACGTAGTTTGCATCGGGAATGTGATTCGGAGTATATTCCGGTCGACGGCGTATTGAGCAGCAGACAATGGGAATGGAAAATGAGGAATTGGAGTGTTTGGGGTTTGATGGTTTGAAATTGAAGAGAGTTTGGGTTTGAAGAAAAGGGTTTTTGGGACGGAATGAGATTAATGGGTTACCGGAAATTGGATGATTTGCGGTGATAGACGCCATTGCCGGAGAAGAGAAGAAGAAGAGAAATTGGAGTTTGCAAGTGCTGGTTTTAATGGCGGCTGGAAGAGAGACTGAAAATTCAAGTAAAGATAAATGAAAATATCAAATACTCTTAAGGGCTCGTTTGGTGTGAGGTATAGTAACAAATAGTCCCGGGATTAAATTATAGTACCGCTTATTTTGTTGTTTGGTTGGCAAGTTCGGGATAACTTATCCCGGGATTAATAATTAGTACCGGGATAAGTTATCCCTCTCCTTGGGTGGTATAGTAATCCCGGGATAAGTTATCCCGGGATAAAATAGGTAAATGACAAAAATGTCTCTTTCAACCCTTTTGTTATATCACTTTTTACATTAATGAAGGGCATTTTTGTAAACAAATAAATTGTTCTTAAAATTTATTATTTTGAATACAACAAACCAAACACTCAATAAAAAATAATCCCAACACAACTTATCCCATCATAACTAATCCCAACATAACTTATCCCAACATAACTTATCCCATCATAACTCATTTTCAAACCAAACGCTAGTATAATTAAAAATTGCAAAAATATAACCTTAAATTGAGGTCCCTATTCTAAACCTAACTATTTTTTTGTTAATAAAAGACAAATTAAAGGTTTGACTTCTTTTATTGATTTTTTATAATGGTCTCCGTATCGGTATTGAAGTCGGATTAAAATTTGTGTTGCATGGCACTTCATTTGAGAAAAACACTTTTTATTAAGGATTTTTAATAACTAGAACTCGACTTTGAGACTTTTTATTCATTCCTTACATTATTTGATGGATAAAGTCATATTCACTTTACCAAATTGCGTGGAATTTCTTGAGTTTATATTTGGATTCTATATTAACTCTACTAAAATATTTTAGCATTATGAACTTGTGATTTAAAAAGAATAGTAAGGATATCATTAGCTTTTTATTTTCATTGATCGTTAATTTTTACTCTATCGTTATTCAAATTTCAATTTTATTGAAGTAATCAGCAGACTTAAACTTTTATAACAATCAGCAGAATATCAAAAGCATGATGTATGTAATTTTAGGATACAAAATTCATAATCTTAAATAATATGGAATATAGTTATCAAAATATAATAATATGGAATATAAATTTGTATGTAAAAATATATTTAAATTATAATAATTAGTAAATGTAATTTTAGGATACAAAATTTGCTCGCCTCTCTCCTTTCTCTTTAGATTTTGCTCATCTCTCTCCTCCCTCTCTCGATTTCGCTCATCTCTCCCGATTTCACTCGCCTTCCTCCTCTTAATATGTATTCATTTTGATACAAATTAGTTTGTATTTGTGTTTTTCTCCAAAATTTGCAAAAAAAATACACACTCTCCTCTCTCTCTCCCAGATCTCGGTTGCCTCACTCCTCCCCTAACATTTTGCTATTATTTGTAATTAAGCAAACTATAGCTATAGAGTTTCTAATGTTTGCTATTTTTAAAAGTTTCCCTTAATTCAAAGCTATAAAACTTAAAGATAAATCCTATAAATGTTATTCCTACAAATTATAATTTTCACCACCACTTATTTGTGCATCGTTTGGTCCCTCATTTATTATCTTATTTAAACACTTTGATTTTCGACATTCGTAATTATTCGCAGAAAAATTTCATTAAAAAAAATAATTAAAGATTTCTTTACCAAAACTTCACTTTTCAATCAAACACCAAAAAGTTAATAATTTATAGCTATATATTGCAAAATTGATTTATTTCTTTTTTAAAATAAATTCTTTTGTTCAAACTTATAAAAGCTTAACGAAAAAAAGAGTACTTCACCTCCTCAAAAAAAAAACAAGTCTTTCATTAATAATCAACATGTATTGTGATACTTACATGAAATTTACAAAGTACAATAATCATCATTTTACATGATGCTCAACATCAATTCAATACAATATGACGACGATAACATATATTTAGTGTAATTTCATCGATAATATATGTCAAAAATGATTATATATCTATGACATCTCAGATGTAGAGACGGCCTCTTTTACCATGAGCACTAATCAATTCGATTTGAATCTCAATTTCACCACATTCTACATTTTGCAATCTAAGAAGCATCTTTTGTGTCATTTTTCCATTTTCCCATAATATGCAACTTTCATCAGACAAGCAATTTTCTCTGTTTGGTTGAACCCTATCTACTTTCACACCATCTGGGAGACCTTCTAATCCCATGTTTATAGCATCAAGATATGGTTTTATGTCTATATTTGCATTTCCCATTTTGTCATCTGCTGTGAATGTATCTTTATCATACACTGTCTACCAAAAAAAAAATTAAAAAAATTAGCCAACCAATATACACTACAAGAAAATACAGAATTTGTCGCTAATCCGCAGCTAAATAAAATTAGCATGGAATTTTTGCTCTTCAATTACAAAATTTTATCTGTCGCTAATTTCTCATTTTCTAGCAGTGATATATATATAAGCTATATATTCATTGAACCAAGTTTAAGAAGGCCAAACATAAATTTGTAGTCTGTTTGGTCAAACTTCTAAAATCAACTTGTTTTGAAAGTATTTTTCAAAAAACTACTTTTGATGAGAAGCAATTGTGTTTGATCAGTAAATGTTGTGATAAATAGGTAGATATGTATTTCTCTTTTTTTAACAATTAAACTTTTGGACGAATTGAACACACAATCCAACAATGTTTAATGTTCAATATATTGTATCCTTTTTTTATAAAATGAAATAAAATCTCAAATTATATATACAAAATTTGAGACTTACTAAGGTAATAGGAAGGTTGGGATCATAGAGTGCAAGGCTCAATTCCTCATTCCACACAGGATTGCAGTTCTCTTTGATAACTCGAGTCTTTGATTTCTATAAAATTCATAGAAAATAAATTCTCATCAATAACGTAAAAGTCTAGATAGTTAATCACGTGAACATTTTTTTAAAAAGGATATGGTTTTTGTTGTGAAAGGTAAATCAAAAATTATTCTCATCATTAATGTCAAGTTATTAATCAATATTATTTATAACAACTTTTTAAAATGATCAGATAATATAAATATATATATTTTTCAATATATAAAACGTAAACTCTTCAAGGACGATAAATAACGAACCTGACCACCCATGGTGATGACAACATAGGGATCACTACAAAAAGAATCCCTAATAGCAAGATTAATCCCTCTACGAACTCTTATTTTCAAAACTCCCAACACATTCATCTTTCTTCTTCTTTTTTTCCTGTGTCTTATTTTGCATAGAAATTAAAAAGAATTAAATTATGTACAAAAAAAAAAGAGGAAGAAGAGTACTCAAATGAGATCCTCAGGACTTAGATATTTAAGGTGAGCCCCCAAAAATAATTGCAATATTCTTTTCTTTTTAAATGTCTCGAATTAATGACTTAAATTCAATTCCTCCATTTTTAAGAGGTTATTTTCTTAAAATAGTACTCCATTATTCATTTTACTTGTCTATTGTTCAAAAAAATAAATTTTCAATTTTACTTATTTGTAACATATTAAGAAAAGATGTACTTATTTTTTTATGTTTTATACTTGGTATTAATTGTTATTCTCCAAACCATTTTATAAGACTTAATACTAGGGGTAGGCTTTCAATATTTGATTCGGGATTTTATATTTTGAGTTCGATAATTCAATATTTGGTAGTTAAAAATAGACACCAAATACCGACCTTTTAAATTTTGGTTCGATAAATCAAACTTCGACCCGATATGGTGTTTGGTAATACTGCATTAAAGTTTTAGCCAATTATACTACAAAGTTAATATTGTTGCTCCGATTATTTCTATTTTTCTATGTGAAGGCACGATATAATAGAAGATCAACAAGTAAGAAAACATAAAAAAAAAAAAAAAAGTGACACAACTAAAATACATATGTATTTGAGTTGTTTATGCTTAGTCTTTAATTTTTTCTATGGTCTTGTACTAATGAATAATGAGTCTGTATATGACCTTTATTAAGTAAATAATTGGTATTCAGGAAATACCGAATACCAAATGGGTACTAATGTCTCATACCAAATTCAAATCTAAATACCATAATTCTAAAATCTTACTATCGAGTACCAAATACCAAATTTTCAAAATTTTTGGTTCGATTCAATATTTTGATTTTTGTATTTAATGTCCAACCCTACTTTTTTTTTTTATTTCCTACCCGGTGTCTGGTACCCATATTGGAGCTCGACTAAATCAAATTTGTGGCAGAGAGTCCACATTTGAGGAGTAAAGAGCTCCCTAACAAAGGCGACTACGTACGTACCTAAGGAGATTTGAACCTCAAACCTCTGGCTCGTAAGAAGGATGATCTTGATTTTACTTATGATTTGTGCAAGAAGTGTATTGATTTGAAACAAAATATTTATACTAATACGATGCAACAGGTTGTTAATATCTTGGTTGCACACTCCATGATCAAAGAAGCGAACGAGCTAAATCAGAAAATGAAAGTAGATGAAGAAGAGAAGATGATAGCAAAAGCTAAATCAGAAGAGATTATTATTGGCGTTACTTTCTTCATTGTTATCTAACAGATTCTATAATTGAACTTTGTGCTATATGAACTTAAACGACAAATAGAAAAAGTTTTCAAGTACTATATATATAGTGTGTAATTGGTACGAAGGAAAATGTTTTCTTCGAAAGTATTATTTTTTAGTGTTTGGTAAGTAAGCAAGAAAATGTTATCCCAAAAGCATTTATATGTTATCTAACAAAACGTTATGGAGGCAGGTAAGGATGGGGCATGTGGGTGGTGGGGTTGGATAGTAAGGGGTGAGAGTTGGGAGAGGAGGAGACAATAAACTTGAAACGTCATTTATGCAACTTATTTTCCCTATTTTTATTAGAAAGTCATTTTCCTCATTTTTAAGGAGTTTAATTTTCTAGATTAATGTTTTACAGACATTTTGATCAATCAAACATAAAAAAAAATTGAAAACTATTTTACTTGTACCAAATACACCCATATATACGAAAATTTCCCCCATATTTCTAACCAGGACATTGAGAATATTAGGGAAAGGAAATAAAAAAGAATCTGTCGACATTAATTCTCCTTTTCACATAGTTTATCATTTTATTATAATATACAAGTTTACATTAATTTTCCTACCTTTTTCAATGTACACAAAGAGCTAGTCAATATTATAAATATAAATTAAACAATAATTTGAGAAAAATAGTAAATAACTATTTCATATATTGTAGAATTAATATAGATTAATATGATTCAAAAGAAGACATGTTAAAACATTGGTCAAAGTATACATAATTTGACTATCGATAAATAAAAATGAAGTCGAATAAAACTGTCATCAGTTGATAGTAGGTCCAACCCCTGTTGTTATTTATAGAGTGAGAAATATCTCTTTTCGCTAATAAATATGGTACTTACTACTACTTAATATATATATGAACATATTTTGTTCCTAATACAAATATTACTTTTTAAAAAACCTATTCTTATTTCTTTTATTTTAAAATCACGATAACCAACAAACAAGTAGGAAATAATATGTTTTTCATCTTAATCAAATTTTAATTAAAATAGAATAAACTCAGGTACCTTTTTAACTAATTATACATGACCTTTTTAAAATCACAATAACCAACAAACAAGTAGGAAATAACATGTTTTTCTTCTTAATCAAATTTTAATTAAAATAGAATAAACTCAAGTACCTTTTTAACTAATTATACATGACCTTTTTAAAATCACAATATCCAACAAACAAGTAGGAAATAATATGTTTTTCTTCTTAATCAAATTTTATTTAAAATAGAATAACTTCAGGTACCTTTTTAACTAATGATACATGACTATTTTTTAAAAAAAAGATACAATAATCTCATCATTAATTTTTCATCTAGATAACAATAAAGATTCTAATAAAATATCAAATATTTTATTTCTTCATTTTTTTTCTCTCGAAGTAAGATAAACATTTACAAATTAAAAAAAATCATCCTTAGGTAAAGAATATATTTAGAGAGAAAAGAAATATGAATTTATTTGGAAAAATGATATTTTTGAGCATTAAATAATAATACACTTTTATTCATATTTTCTCCTTGACGTTTCTTTGACCCATATAAACCCATCGCTTCCTCTTCATCGCTGTGTTCGACTTTTGGTTTTTGGGTTTTGCTGCTGTTTTGAGTTTTGGCTTCGAAGATGGTAAGCCCTAACTTGAACTCATCAAAATCAATTGATCTTTCGAATCAAATCTGGAAATTAAACAATGTATTGTATAAAGAATTTTCTGATGTTAATTTTTCTTGTTTACGCCGTTTAGAGCTTTATTTGATCCCCAATTTGCTATATTTTCTTTTTCAGATTATGGATTTCTGTAGATTATAAAATTCATGTTAGATTCTTTGCATTCTTGGATGTTTATGTATTGTATCCCGAATCCCAGTATATTGAATTGTGGAAATTAGTTGATACCAGTTTAAATGGTGCTTATCGATTGAATTAGCTAGTTGGGGGTGATGGAACCCTTTCCCATGTAATGTGTGCCTAAGATAGTATTTAGCAATGAATTTCATGTGTAGGGTTAGAGAATTTGTTGAATCTGATGTTTTTACTTCGGAAGAATTATATGGATTGATAGCCAGAGTAGAAATAAGCATAATTACATGAATTGTCTTAACTCTACACATTGATATTCCCTTCCTCCTTTATTTGGGTGCGACTGATAATGCGAACTCACATTGGTTATGTCAAATAATCACATGGTGGAGCTCAATGTGCTTCCTATTTGTGGATACAAAATTATATGGCATTTTACTTATTTTAGGAAGTTTGAAAGGAGTGGCTTTGTCCATCTTTTTGGTATAACATAGGTTGACAATTATTGATCTGAATTGGATTTTTCAGGTGCGATTACAGCCAGACCCATTCCTCAATGAACTGACGAGTATGTTTGAGCGAACTACTGAGCATGGTTCCGTTTGGGTTACGCTCAAACACTGTGAGTTTGCCTCTTCATTGGTTTTCATGTATTTTGTTCTCTGTATTCGCTTCATGAGTAACTAATAATAGAGCTGTAGATTGAAATACTAATTGAGCAATCTTGTCCTTTGTATCCACAGCTTCTGATAAATCTAAAGCCCAACGGAATAAGATGAAGACAGCTGGTGAAAATCTTGAATTTAAGTGCCTCATCCGAGCAACTGATGGGAAAAAGAATATTTCCACAATGGTAATCACAGAAGAAAGTTTCTTATTTTTTTTCCATTGCTTAGTCATGTTGGTTGGATTGTGGTTGCGCCTTCTTTTTGCAAGTCTTGCCGTTTTCCCCTTTTTTTTTTTTGCTTTGTTGGGCACTATGTTCTCTGGAACATTGAGAGTGTTAGTTTGTTGTATGAATTATTTTTTAGCATAAGTTTAAACGTGCAAATATAGATAGATTCTAGGTCCTGGCCTGTATCTTTGAGATTGAGAGCATCAAATTCAAAAAAAGGATGGTAGCCTTGTGGTGCATAGAGAATGATAGTTGTGGTCCTTGTTTACTTGTTTGATAACTAATAGTTAACGTATATGCTTGTAATACAATATTAGGGCACCTAACTGGACAATTTTTCATAAAAGGCAAACACATTATGGATGCTACTCTTTTAGTCAGTGAATGTGTGAATTCTAGGCTCAAAGGTGAAGATCCAGAGATCACGTGAAACCTAGCTATAGAGAACCCATTATGATCATGTCAACTGGGAGTTACTCCTCAACCTTCTTAAAAAAATGAGTTTTGGTGGAAGATGGTTAAAGTGGATGGTTTTGTATCAAAACTGTCAGGTTCTCAATTCTAGTCATAGGAGAATTTGCTGGAATTTTCCCTCAAAGAGAGAGGACTCTGGGAGACCCCCCTCTCTTTTCCTTTTCATATTAGCTATGGAAGGTTTCAGTAGTATGACGAGGGGGACTATTCAGAACAGTTGGATAAAAGGTTTCAGGATAGGCAATCGAGCAGGTGAAGAGATGTAGATTTGCCTTTCATTATTGCTGATGATATCGTTGTTTTCTGAGATGCTAAAGCAGATTAGATCATGTACATCAGAATGATTTTGGTTATCTTTGAGGCAAATTTTGGTCCCATCTGTAAAATTGGAGGAAAAGTAGTATTTTCCCTGTTAAAGAAGTTCCACAAATTCAAAGTCTGTCCTTGTTATATTGTGAAGTTCTGATGATTTAACAAACTATGACATCTAGTTGGGGACCTGATCCCATGAGAGACTGGGAGTTTCAGGCAATGTGAAAAGGACAGTTGTAAAGCTGCAACCGCTGCCACAACTGCAATTGTTGGTGCGCCTCTTCAGTGGAATAGTACTCTCAGCCAATGCCGTTGCACTAGGTAGTTTGTCCAACTTATAATAGTCATCTTGTCAAGGGACGTTACCTAGTTTTTGAATTGAAGAATTCCATACGGCAAACTCTCAAAAAGAAATACTCTCATATGCAGCAAGAGACCTGATCGAGTGATCTATTGTTCTCTTTAGTTGTTATATGAGTTTATTGTCTCGCGTTTATACATTGTAAGATCTATTCATATGTTATAAAGGAATCAAATCATTTCGGTTGTAATCATTGTTAAAGTTTAAGTTGTAGCTAGAGTTAGCTATGTCGTGTTCTTGAAGTCTACATTAACTAAACTTGTTGGTGTAGTAGCAATAAGGATATTACTTTGTTTCTGAGTAAGAGAGCCCTTACAAAGGGGGAAGGGATTAAGAGTTTAATTCCTAGGTTGCAAGAGTTTGTAATCTGAATCTTAACTCTTTGAAGTAATGGAATTGGCAAAATCTTGCGAGACGGGTTGTGATTTTCTCCTCCCTTAAGCAAGGGGGTTTACACGTAAACATTATGTTTTGTTTATTTTAAGTTTTTCTTTGTGCATTGTTCTTACTATGTCAAGGGACCTGGTCCATTGACTTGTGGTGGACGCATATAATTTATCAGTCCAATATCTTGAGTTGTAAAATTGAGAAATCCCAACAACTTACTTGGGGCTGCCCTTTGGAAACAATCATAAGGAGCTAGAAATTTTGGGATGAGATTGTTGAAAAAACTAGCAGCGAGGCTCAAATGGTGTTGAGAGCTTCGCCTCGCTTTATGTCTTCAGTGTTTGTCACCAGTGTTCTAAGACATATTTTTCCTTGCCAATGAGCTTCTGCCGAAGAGGCGACACTAAACAATTGATATTTCACTTTATCATAATTTTTTTTCAATTTCTTTGGTAATATGTTTGTTATTCATGATTATAATTATTAGTCTTGGACTAAGCATATATATTTGTATTTTTTTCTCCCTTTGTGCCTTTTTTCATTAAAGCCCACACTTTATTTGCGCTTAAAGCCCCAATGGACCTTAGAGCTTTTTTGCGCTTTTCGCCTTTGCTCACACTTGAAAAAACTAGCCAATTGGAAAGCCCAGTGTTTATCTCTTGGAGGTAGTAGTACTCTTATCAACTCAATATTGGATTCATTGCCAACATATGTCATGTCCTTATTTTCAATGCCTTCAGGTGGAGGATAGACTAGACAAGTTGAGGACTTTCTATGGTTGGGTAATAAGGAGGGCAGAGGTATTCACCTAGTGAAATGGCAAACTGCTCAGCTTAGCTGAGCAGACAATATGGTTGACTTGGTATTAGTAATCTGGGGCTTCAGAACAGATGCTTATCGACAAAATGGAGGTTTGTTGGTGAGGATCTTGCACTCTGGAAGGAAGTAATTATAAACAGATATGGGCAGAGTGACTATTGGTGTTCTAATATAGTATCTGGCACCTATGGGTGTCCGTGTGGAGGACAATTTGGAACTTATGGTCTATGTTGGCTGGGAATATAGACTGTAGTGTGGGGAATGACACCTAGATCCTTTTTCGGTGAGATAAATGGATTGGACATAAGCCTTTGATGAGCTCATTTCCGGAACTGTTCTCATTCTGTAGCAACTCTGAAGCATCAATAGTTGACACTCGGTGCCCTCAAGGGTGGAATCTCACATTCAGAAGGCACTTGAATGATCGAGAAGTGGGTAGATTTGTTGAGTTACTACAAGTGCTTAGTGGTTTCTTAGGTTTATCTACAGGATCAGACACAATGAGGTGGAAGCATGACAGTGGTGACCAGTTCTCAGTAAGAAGACTCTAGAGAAATGAAGTGGTGGAGAAACCAGGGGGGAGGGGGCATACAAGGTCCTTGGAAACAGATTTGGAAGTGCAGTGTCCCAAACAAGGTGAAATGTTTCACTTGGTTGGTTAGCAGAAGAGCATGTCTCACTGATGAAAAATTGGAAAGGAGGGGCTTTCAGATAGTATCCAGATGTTTTTTTTGGCAAGGAGAATGAGGAAACTAATAATCATCTGTTTCTTCATTGGAAGATTGTATCACAGATCTGGTCTGTGTTTCCAAGTATATCTCAAGCAAATTGGGTAAGGCCTGAACACATTACTGACCTACTTAGCTGATGCATAAGGAGTGGAGGGAGGGAACAAGAGTCAGAAGAAATAGTGGAAGATAATACCATATTGCATATAGTGGTCAGTATAGAGAGAAGAAACAACAGATGGTTTGATGATATCTCTAACCCAATCTAGAAAATCAAAGAAAATTGTATGAATATTTTGTATTTTTGGTGTAAAGAAAGGGTCTAGAAATAGCAGAACAGTTAGTAGACTTTTTAGGATCTTTGTAATTACTGTAATTTCCTTCTGCTTGTTTGTTTGGATCCTACAACTTTTTGGAAGTTGCCAGCATGTCCTTAATGCTGAAGAATACAACTTAACCATTCTAAAAAGACATGGTTAAGATCATCAACTTCCCAAAATATAAACATTGTCAAGTGTGTCAAGCCTCTTTACGGCTAAAAATAGCATGGAAGTTGTAGTTTAGTTCATCTCTTCAGTGCACATGTTGGGTTTGTTTAGGTTTGTCCTTGATGAGCCAGTTGTATTTTTATCTCTCTAGAAGGTACTGATTAGGTGTTCCTGCTGTAAATTTCATGTGTCACTTTCAACTCATCATAAAGTATATTTGTAGCGCTGAAAGCATTTGCTAGTTGCACTTGCACACTTTTGTTCTGAATTTTGCTCACCTTGCACATGCAAATACTCTTTGATTTGCTACTTCTTGAAATTGAGAAATTGACAAGGTTTTCCACATGGTACACATGGCATGAAGTTTGGGCTGAAACAGCCTGTCATGTGTCTAAGATTGTGAACCTCCCTTTAATATAGAACTTTGTCTGGTATGTCTGCTAGCTAGCCCTTTCAGCATTTGCTAGTTGCACACTTTTGTTCTGAATTTTGCTCATGCGAGTACTCTTTGATTTGTTACTTCTTGAAATTGAGAAATAGACAAGGTTTTCCACATGGTACACATGGCATGAAGTTGGGCTGAAACTGCCCGTCATGTGTCTAAGAATGTGAACGTCCCTTTAATATAGAACTTTGTCTGGTATGTCTGCCAGCTAGCCCTTTCAGCATTTGCTAGTTGCACACTCGTGTTCTGAATTTTGCTCATGCAATACTCTTTGATTTGTTACTTCTTAAAATTGAGAAATTGACAAGGTTTTCCACATGGTACAACACATGGCATGAAGTTTGGGCTGAAACAGCCCGTCATGTGTCTAAGAATGTGAACGTCCCTTTAATATAGAACTTTGTTTGGTATGTTTGCTAGCTAGCCCTTTCAGCATTTGCGAGTTGCACACTTTTTGTTCTGAATTTTGCTCACCTGCACATGCAAATACTCCTTTGATTTGTTACTTCTTGAAATTGAGAAATTGACAAGGTTTTCTACATGGTACACATGGCATGAAGTTTGGGCTGTTTCAGCCCATCACGTGTCTTTAAGAATGTGAACCTCCCTTTAATATAGAACTTTGTCTGGTATGTCTGTTGGCTAGCCCTTTCAGCATTTGCGAGTTGCACACTTTTGTTCTGAATTTTGCTTACCTGCACATTCAAATATTCTTTGATTTGTTACTTCTTGAAATCGAGAAATTGAGAAGGTTTTCCACATGGTACACATGACATGAAGTTTTTTAGCCTGTCACGTGTCTAAGAATGTGAACGCCCCTTTAATATAGAACTTTGTCTGGTATATCTGCTAGCTATCCCTTTCAGCATTTGCGAGTTGCACACGTTTGTTCTGAATTTCGCTCACCTGCACATGCAAATACTCTTTGATTTGTTATTCTTGAAATTGAGAAATTGACAAGATTTTGCACATGGTACACATTGCATGAAGTTTGGGCTGAAACATCCCGTCATGTGTCTAAGAATGTGAAATGTCCCTTTAATGTAGAACTTTGTCTGGTATGTCTGCTAGCTAGCCCTTTCAGCATTTGCATGTTGCACACTTCTGTTCTGATTTTCGCTCACCTGCACATGCAAATACTGTTTGATTTGTTACTTCTTGAAATTTAGAAAGTGACAAGGTTTTTCACTTGGTACACATGTCATGAAGTTTGGGCTGATACCGCCCGTCATGTGTCTAAGAATGTGAACGTCCCTTTAGTATAGAACTTTTTCTGGTATGTCTGCTAGCTAGCCCTCCCTCGTTTTCCTTCTTGAATGCCTCTCCTCATCCTATAATGGAGACAAGAACACCAACTTGAATTTTCTTTACCTTAGTTGTCTTTATTTTCTTCATCTTATTTGTATTCATGTCTTGCTTGTTGCTCTTTTTGATAAGGTAATTATTTTCATTAATGATTGGAGAAATCCCATAATACAAGCCATATACCAAAAAAAAAACAGAGAATGTAAACCAAAATTTTGTTCTCCACGAAAGGAAAACCAATCATCTATAAAACAGGCACCTTATGGGGGGTGTCATCTTATTTGTATTTATGTCTTGCTTGTTGCTTTAGTAGTTTATATGATTATTATTTATGTTTTGATGCATCATTTCACTTCTTGTGGCTAATGATGCACTTGATTTCATTGGACTAACAGGTTGGTGCAAAAGATCACCAGCGTTTCCAAGCATCTTATGCAATTTTGCTGAAGGCCCGCTTGACTGCACTAAAGAAGAGGGAGAGGAAGGACAAGAGGAAGGCTACTGATTCTGACAAAAAGATGGATATTTCGAAAAAGAAATCTGCTGCTGCTAAAGCCTCTACATGAACTTTAGTCCTTTGGTTCATTTCCCCCATTTTGTTTCTAGGATAGAGTTGTAGGATTTGAACCCCGTCCGTTTGGGGCGACAAGTCTGAAACTGCATTACAACTTCTGCTGCATAGAATGAAGAAAGGAGGTGTTTTTACTCAATTTGAAGAAATTTTGTCATAATCTTGACCTTTAATTCCTTGAGCAACAGCTTTGGCAATTGAAAGTAGAGGGGACCAAATTAAGAGTAGTATGCTTACCTACTTGAATTTCATGTCAACTGCATATGGTCATACTTTTGGTTGTGGGAACTTAAAATGACATTTTGTGCTTCTTTTTGTTCAACCAGTTTTTTTTTCCACGTTCCAAAACCATTGTCATGAAATAGGCACATTGTTTGATGTGTTTTCTTTTAATTTTAGTGGATGCCATTGCCCTTTGCATGTAAGAATTAGGAGATCAGTCATGAGGTCTGGTTGGTATTTCAACTAGGAAAAAGTGAACAACTGATAGTTGAAGCACGTTAAGATAAATATTCGGTGATTGTTTAAGTAGGAAATTCAAACACCTGAAAAAACGAAATATTTTAGGTGTGTTTTTTATCATCTCACTCTTTATTAGTGTTTGTCACTTTTTGTCTCCGAGTTGAATTAAACTATCAAAGTATAATTAAGAAGTAAAGAAAACTTTTGAATCTTTTGATTTTATACTAAAAATGTGTGCGATGAATCAAAATATAAATGAATCTTATGGTCTTATATATGTCATGTCACATATGACATGTTGGTAGATGTGTCAAATGAGCGAGTTATGTTGGATTTGGGTAAATCAAAATGGTCTAAGTTAATAAATGGACGGGTCAAATTAATTGAATTGAAATGAGTGTAAAAAAAATGAAACAAGATTCAATCTGCATAGTTATTACTAAGTTTTAGCGGCTTTATTTATATTTCTAATTGTTTTTTAGGACTTAATAAAATTATTATTTTTCTTTATTACAGGTATATATAATATAACAAATAAAAAATAGTACTATATTTTGACAAGATTTCTCAGAAATCAGTTTATGCTAGATATCAATCAAAATAAATAAATTTTGATGCGCTGAAATGAAAGGCTAATAAATGAGTTTCTCAAGGCCGCTGTATAAATAGAAATATTCCAATCATTTTATACACTTTTTGGATATATATATATATATATATATATATATAGTACCTTTTTCTAGGAATTTTTACCTTTTTATTTTTTCGAAGGCTCGAACTCATAATAATAGTATTGAAGATGTGAAGGGTGATTATCATAGGAAAACTCTTTTTTTTCCCTAATAAAAAAAAAGGAGGAGGAGGAGGAGGATAATGCTATTGCTTTAAATGATTTGAGGCAAATTCTATGATAGTTGCGTGGAAGTCCAGTAAAGCCCACTAATATTTACTTTTATAAAAGTAGTTCCTCTACAAGAAATCACAATATATCAGGACACCTTAATACCAACGAGGGTGTCGTGATGAAATAAATAAGATATATTTCATTCATTATTAATTAAAAGAAATTTGAATTTAAGTTTTGAGTATGAAGAATATTTTGTTGGTGAATATTTTCTTTTTAAATGAATTTTACGTAATGTAAATTTGAATCAATCAAGACTTTAATCATGTGAAAGTTGAAAGACATCAGATGAAGAGAAATAAAAAAAAAACACTTTGTTAATGGCATAATATGGAATCATTGAAATTAACTTAGCTTCAAAAGAGAACAATCAGAATTTACATATGAAATAATTGCCTGCCCAGGATAAATTCAATTGCTTTTATTCCAAGCTTAGTGACTAGTGATTTTACATTATAATAGATCATTTTCATCAATTGTAATATAGTTAACATTTCTTATTTTACCAATAACGATTGCGTAGTTTTTAGTATCAATAAATATACATATTAATAAAGAGTGTTCAAAACCTTTATGATCGGTATTAGTTATTTGTCATTGGATCCAATATCGCTATAGACTTTAGGGGCATTTACAAAAAGTTCTAGCTAATTACCGCGAAAAATACATATTTAACACTAATTAAATTATTCATTAATTAATTGTCACTAAAAATAAAAAAAATTATATAGTAAATATTCCTTCATCTTCAATCAAAAGTCTCGAGTTCGAGTCTTCTGCTAACCTCAAAAGTCTTTGCAATTATCAAAAGCTTCAAGGATTTCTTGTGATCAAGTGATCTTTTTAATTAATAAGCTAGGACCTTATGAGTTATGACATAACCATATCCTTCCTAATTTATTACAACACCCAAAATAATAAAAATTAAACGTACCTGTACCTAAAATCCCCCAACACTAAAATTGCTGAATCTTAAACAATAATTCAACTTTTTTGCTTCTATAAATACTTATTATATCATTTAGTACCATCAAACAACAAAGTTTCTTTTATCCTCTCCAATTTGAAAAAAAATGATTATTTTTTCTTCAAGAAATTTGTTGATTTTGTTATTAATATGTACTATAGCTATAGTTGTAATTCCAAAATTAGCGTCGACACAATATTGTGGATGTACAGAAGGATTGTGTTGCAGTAGATGGGGTTATTGTGGCAGCGGAAAAGCTTATTGTGGACAAGGTTGTCAAGGAGGGCCTTGTTATACTTCTTCGACAAAAAATTACAATCATAATAATAATAATAATAACAATAGAGTTTCTGATATTGTTAGTGAATCATTTTTCAATGGAATTGCAAATCAAACTTCTTCAAATTGTGAAGGCAAAGGATTTTACACAAGATCTGTGTTTCTTCAAGCTTTAAAGTTTTATCCTGAATTCGCAACGACTGGTTTTTCTGATGATGATAATAAGCGCGAAATTGCTGCTTTCTTTGCTCATGTCACACATGAGACTGGACGTAAGTCATTTTTCTTTAAATTTTATCATATGCTTAATTTTAGTATCTATCTTTGTTTTTAAAAAAAAAAAAAATATTTTCTTGGATTCTTCATGTGATATGTCTTGTCAATTATGAGCCATCTTATTATATGTTTCATGTTATATGACGTTATTTGAGCAAAAGTTACTGAGTTCAACCTAACCTATTACCTGTGCCCGGCCTTCTAGCAACATTTCCACACTTAACACTATAGTTTATTTATTTTTTGACATTATGCAGAAATGTGTTACATAAATGAGATAAATGGTTCATCTAGGTACTATTGTGACATGACAAAGTCAGAGTACCCTTGTGTCTCTGGCCAAAATTATTATGGTAGAGGACCAATCCAACTATCATGGAACTTCAACTATGGTCCGGCTGGAAAAGACATCGGATTCGATGGCCTTAACGACCCTGATATTGTGTCTAGAGATAGTTTAATATCATTCAAAACTGCCTTATGGTACTGGATGAACACTTGCCATCCTCTGTTAACTTCTGGGCAAGGTTTCGGGGCAACGATTCGAGCTATTAATGGTCCTCTTGAGTGTGATGGTGGCCTTCCTCAACCTGTTGCTAGAAGGGTTCAACATTATGTTCAGTATTGCCACCAACTTGGTGTAGATACTGGGGATAATCTCACTTGTTAGAACACTTGAAAAAGGTTCCTATAATAGAAATGTAATGGGAAGTGTTATTTTCATTTATATATATATTATATATGAATGAAAATACTATATGTATACCAAATTATAAATAGTACTATATATTGAAGTCTAGATATATTACATAGTTTGATTTGTCTAGGCTAACATAATACCTACAATTTATACATATTATTAGCCTAATTGAAGGCATATGACATTTATTATGGTGAAACGGGGTTGATTTTTTATATGATTACTCAATTAATAATTATTATCTCAGATCGTCACTTTTTTTTTTTTTAAATTCTAATTTGTTTTATTAAGATGTGACTTCAGTGACCATATGAGAAATCAACTCGGTGAAAAAGACCCTTATGTCATGACCCGCCACTTTGCCTTTCAAACTTGGCATAAAAATAAGGAGGAAGAATCTAGAGTTATGGAGAGGTTAGTGGAAGACTCTAGAATTAAGTCCGTGACACTTAACTCCATTCAACTCAATCTGTGAAAAGGGCCATATGGGAAATCAACTTGTTATTCATAGAAGTTGCTCCACTTTCACCTAATTCACTAATGTTAATGACCGAAATGTATCAAATAGCAATGGAAAAAATGATTCCAACAGTTAGACCTTTCTTTGATATATATTCTCTATTCCTAATTGCTGTTTTTCGGAAAATACTGAAAAGAGTGGACAAGGAATTCAAATAATTTTAAGAAAGGAGTTTTTCATGTAAAAATACTTGTGCAAATTTTACTTTTGAGATAGTAGGTCGCAACAAACTAACATTATTTATATCTTTGTTAAAAAAAATGATACATCTTCTATGAATATTTTAACTTGATTTGAAGCTTAAACTACTTTTGATTTGTGGTTAAGGATCAGTTATTTAAGAGATCCTAATTACAGAAACTGGGCCAAAAAACCATTTGATATAAGTTGTGCCAGTAACCCTAGCTAACAATTATTGGGGTCAGACTCTCTTATTGTACATACAGGGTGAATAAATAGTGAGTATTTATCAAAAATACTATGGTCTCGAATTTGAGTCTTGTGTATGGAAAATATACTGTTGGAAGCGCTATCGTTCGAATGAGCCCTGTAATGTGTGATCCAAATTAAGTCGAGAGCTTCAAAATACATGTAATGAATGAGTTTAGTTGAATCTTGTCCATTAAAACTTATTGAGTGGAGATTGTATAACTTTGGTTTCAAAAAGTGTGTTATGTCTCCTGCCCAAATTAAGATTTTTTTCATTTTTTTTTTTAAATTCTTTGTAAAAAATTTGAAGGTACATAGAAATTAAGATTGTTTACCTTGTTGAATGAGAATTCGATTTCAACCTTGTAATCCCTTCCCCTATTTTTCACTCAAAAAGTTTGATAAAAAACAAGTGTTTAATGAATAAGGGAGGTCAAATCCAAATCTTTATTTTTTTAAGGGAAAATGCATAAGTACCCCCCCAGCCTATGCCCGAAATCCCAGTGACACACCTAACCTTTACTAAGGTCCTATTACCCCCCCGAACTTATTTTATATGTAATATTCTACCCCTTTTTGGCCTACGTGGCACTATCTTGTGGGCCCAACTCATGTTGACAATTTTTTTAAGGATAGTGCCACGTAGGCCGAAAAGGGTTAGAATATTATAGATAAATTAAGTTCGGGGGG